CCCACATGCTATTAAATGAAGACTGTTGTGACCTTAACTCAACAAGCATAAGACCAATATGTCATAAATTATCCACAATGGCTATAAATTGCACAATCCCTACTGTAGGTGTGGGCAACTGTGAAAAATAAATATGATAAAGTCATTCTTAAAGGCAGCTGAAAACCTGCAGAGCCTAGTTTGTGTTTACATACGTGGTGACAGTACTGCAGCATAGTGAATCAAATAAAAACAGAATAAAAATTACTGGAAATAATTTAACTGAGCAATTAAGCTGCCGTACAGGTTTGGTAAAACAGAATCCACACCTAAAAGGTCACTGGATTTCATTGTACAAGATGCATAGAGCTCTGATAAATGGGAATCAAAGGAACACGCTAGTATTTGATTTCTCCTTAACCAGCAAAGACTCCTCAGTGCATCTTTTGAGGTCTGAATGTGTCCAAAATCAAACATGTCTACATCTGCATTACATCACTACATTTTGTTGGCCTTATAACTTTCATTTAAATCAACTCGCAGCCTTTTTGGCTGGAATATAAGAAAAAAATACTTTCTTAGGATTAATGTGTAGACATTTTGGAAGTTGCAATGGAAAAGAATTAACTGAAGTGAAGTGAAGGTGTACATTCCTTGGAGAAATCTCTCCTTCCCCCACAATGAAATCAATAGCTGTCACTCAAACTGAAGATAGTGCTTTAGTTAACAGAGCCTTCATTCCCAAAGAGACATTCTTTTGTTAGATATCGAATGGAGGAAAAAAAAAAATATCCATCGGCTTTTGACAATTCGAGAGTCAAAAGAATCATGACCAGTTCAAGGGTCCCTGTGATGTAGAGTTACCCAAAAGGCATGCATCTTAGACATGTACACATGTGAAGGTTTCTAAAGTGACACACACCCTGAAAACTATTTACTTCTTCATGCCGAAAATTCTTATCTACAGCGTTTCATAGGAACATCCATAAATTAGTTATCTGCACAACTTATAATGTCTTATAGGATGCTATAGGATGGGTATAAATCATCATTAAACTGTTTGTGAGAATTCTAAAATAGCAAGTCAAAGTATTTTTTCCTAAAATGTTAGCATTTTATCAGTATAAATTATATATCTCAACAATTCTATAGTGTACATATACCAAAGCAGGCTATTAGAAGAAAGGAGGATCAGATGGAATTTAAGAGCTTCTGTCTGTCAGATGGTTTTGCACCCAAATGAGCTATATTTGTCTTCCCTTAAGTGAGAAAACACCCTGAGAGAGTTAATCAATCATTTCAATTCACTTCTTAGCTATCTGTAGCATGATAACCATCCTAATATAGTCCAATGTCAAGATAGACTAAAATGATCTCTATAGACACTCTGGCAACTAAAATTAAAACACTAGTGTGGCACATACCTAGATACTTATTTAGTAATGATACAGTCTGTAAACATCATTGGCAGACCTCATCAGCAATCGGGATTAGTCCTAAAGGAGCATTCCCATATGCAAGGTAAAATTCACCCCTGTGTAAAGAACTACTATAGGGCTGATTAACTTCTTCAGCCTTTATATAGGGCTTAAATGTGAGACGCAGTACATGGGCCCTTGCTCATTAGACACATAACAACAGTCCAAGATTTCAAAACACCTGGAGGAACACAACTCCCAACAATAAGAAATAGATACATGCATCAAAGGACATGGAGTTGACCTCATTTTCTTACAATATACCATTTTGACAGATTAAACTCAGTTATACCCTTCCTACTCAGTATAATTTTGCAAGTTTAACAAATGTCACTGTTGGCTCAAAGAGCTGCTTATGTCAAAGTCATCTTTGCTGGCATCACCATGCATTTAAATAAATAGTCTTTGAGATATATTGTACACTTTGGGTTCAGACCTGAAAATAGAATGTTTCAGTGGAAAAATGAAACACGCTTATTGTATTTGAAATGAATGTGCCTTAAAAGTAAAACAAATATTGATATTCCAGACATGATACCCAAGATCTATAACAAAGTATATAAAATGCACACTGTTCACATTTAGTAATCATATTCCATTTTCTGTAACTGGAAACAAGGTTCAATGAAGATCATAATTCACTAGCCTTTTTAGCAAACACCATATTATTTTATTATAATACGGTTTTCCTGCCATATTACATTTTACAGTATGTGTACAAGTAACATAAATATACAAGTCCCTGTAAAATATGCAGCAATGACTCTCACCGCTTTTGGAATATTTGCAGCTTTTGAATTTTATGTGAATTTCACATTTTGTTGATGTGCTTGCAATGTGTACTGCCCAGAAGAGAGATTATTTTACATTTCCATTAAAAGGAATAGTGGTAAATAAACCATCACAGCTTATGCAGATACTCACTGGAACATCTACAGCAGTCCATTAAGATGTCAAAACCTATGTTAAACATTTGAAAAAGTAGCACTGAATAAGACATGTTTAAAACTTTAAAAAGTATTAAATGATAATGATATTTTACAGAGGTATACAAACCTCTGCAGAGCACTCAAATCACCACAAGTTTATGTTGATCAGCAATACACTTATACAATTTCACAGTTTAGTACAACAGAGGCTCTTGTATAAAATCAGCCCCAAAACCTCAGGGACAGAAGAATTTGCAGAAAGATTGGCAAATTATCACTAATGCACAGATTATTGCTTTTTTTCAAAAACCTGTATCTCAGATTGGTTATCTATGAGTAAAGGACTTCAGAATCTCACTTAATAAGAACCTAATGTAAGTGCCACACTGGGTCAGACCAATGATCCATCTAGCCATTATCCTGTCTCTGACAGTGGAAGAAATGGATCCTTCAGAGGGAGAGTATTGAACCGGATAGATCTAGAGTGATCTATTCCCTATTCATTACCTTCCCTGGCATCCACCATTATTGGTTTAGAGATGCCAGAGAAAATATTTTCAACAGTTCTGCTCAACAGTTATTAATGGGTCTATCATCCATGAATTGGTCTAGTTTCTTTTTTGAATTGGCTATGCTACCCGCCTCTGCCACCTCTGATAGGAATGAATTCCACAACTTAACTACATGTTACATAAAAAGGTGCTCTCTCTTATTAGTTTTAAACCTGTATCCTATTAATTTCAGGGTACCCTTCCCCCTAATAACTGGGGTGCTCCCTAGTTCTGGTATTTTAGTGTAATAAAATATGAATGCCAATTTTTGACCTGATTTAGACCTCATACAACCCAATGAACTTTCAGTGGGGTTTCACATCATGCCATTCTAACTAGAATTTGGTTCTGCTGTCCTAATACTGTATCCTGTATCCCAGCCTTATGTGTGGTAGCAGTATTGTTCTAGCAAAGGTGAGCAGATTCTATTCAACAGTTTCAGACCTAAAATACAGGACCAGTGAGAAAACTGGTGGTTCATATAAGTGCTAACGACTGAATGTTCCAACACAATGGGATTGATTTTGCTTTCAAACCAGTGTATATCAAGAGTAACTACCACAGTCAGCAGAGTTAAAAGTTCAGTGCATGGGTAAGTCCACTGACCTCAGAGTTACAGCAGTTACTCCTGCTTTGCATAGGTATTGGGTCCATGCTCTTCTTAAAATGTAATGACTATCCTATGTTCACATTTAACCTAGGGCTTGATTCAACTCCCAAAGAAGGAAAGGCTTTCATAGCAGCTGAATTAAAAAGCCCAGTGACCAAAATCAACATTATACCATGGGCTTTGAGTTCTTTAACTCAACAACATATGCTGAGCTCAGAAACTTCAAAGCTAAGCAGAGCATTCAATCATCAACAGAAGATGTGCACCTAAGATGCCCTACACTCTTGGAAAGTCTTAGTGATCCGTATGTGGGAATGAACCTGAAATTGGTGGAAATGAAATGGACTGATCTGTTTACAGCAGGGGTGGGCAAAATATGGCCCGTGGGCCAGACTGAGCCCACCCAGACATTCTATCCAGCCTGCAGGGCCCCTAAAAATATAGAAAATATATATTTATCTGCACCTGGCTGCCTGTCAAAGATGGCAGGAGCCAGGGGCAGTAGGACCCAAGGGAAGTCAGTAAGAGGCAGCGACAAGGCCAGCCCGGTCCTGCTCCACCCCCAGAACCTCCTCCCACCCCCGCCGGAAGTCCCTGCCTGCCAGAGCTTTCATGCTGCTCCAGCACCACGTGGCTGCAGATGGACCGCAGGAGAATGGGGCCCACACCGGTACCCTGGGGCCAGGAGCCCAGGGTGGGTGGTTGGGTGTGTGTGTCCAAGCAATGAGGGAGGGGGAGAGAGAGAGACAGAGAGCAATGACGGAAGGAGAGACTCGTGTGTGTGTGTGTGTGTGTGTGTGTGTGTGTGTGTGTGAGAGAGAGAGAGAGAGAGAGAGAGAGAGACTGAAACTGTGAGTGAGTGACTAACTGACTATGTGTGTGCGAGTGAGAGACAGAGAGACTCTGTGTGTGTGTGTGTGTGTGTGAGAGAGAGAGTGAGTGAGTGAGAGTGTGAGAGAGAGAGAAAGAGAGAGACTCTGTGTGGGTGCACGTGGGAGGGAGAGACTGTGTAGGGAGAAGGAAAGATTGTGTGTGTGGACCCCACCTCACACTACCATACATGCAGACACCTAGACACCCTCACACCCCAGCCACTGTCCCCCCACACACAGGTCCCCACAAACCCCACACCCACCCACACCCCATATATCCACCCCCACCCCCACATGCTCCCTCACCCCACACTCACACCCCCACCCTTCCCAACACCCTCCATATCTACATACTAACAGCCCCCCACAAACTTATCCCCATGCCCCCCCCAAATACACAAGTAAAAGTAAGAGTTCATTTTAAGCTCCTGTCTAATCACCTTGTGGCAGGGCACTGTTTGTGCCTGCCACTTTAAGGGTCAGAAGGCAGTAGCCGGCAGGTGCCTGATTAGGGCAGCCATTTTAGATTCAGGGCTGCCCATATAAACAGGGCAGTTCTGATGCTGGGGGCCAGGCAACAACATTGCCTGGCCAGAGAACTGCTGATATCACCTGGAGGTAAGGGAGGAGCTGTAGGGGATGGTCAGGAGGCTCCTGGTCCTGGGTATGACCTAAAACTGCACCTTGCTGGGAGTGGGTGGCCTGGTGGGGCTCTCAGTGGCACGGGAGCCCCCAGGAAATGCCAGGCCAATTACCACCCCAGTGAAAGGCAGGTCAGGGCACCTTAACCCCTAGCTCCCACAACTGGGTGGGTTACCCCTTTGTTGGAGGGCCCAGAGGGTGGGACCCTCAAAGAGTGAGAAAAGGGCCATAGACTTAGGCCTGTCTGAACTCCCCCTAACTGTCCCATGCTAGGGTCAGAACCAGAAGGGTCGAAGGGGCAGGAGCCCACCACGAGGAATGCCCATGAGCTGAGGGCTGGGGGTTCTGACTGGCCTGGAGGTGGGCCAGGGCTAGTCAGCCAAAGGTCCTGTGGGGGGGATCACATGCAAAGGGGGATCAGTTCAGGGAGCTATGCTGCCTGGTATGATGGTGGAAGAGGCCACCTGAGGGGAAGAATCCAGGTGGGGTTCAATAGGAGGATTCTGGGGCCCAGTTGGTGATAGTGAGAACATCTTGATGCCATCTGCGAGGCTTGAGCTGCAGTGCAGGGGAGGAATGGAGCTGCAGATAGTGCCCCCTGGCATTGGGGCAGTAAATGGGCAGCCTCCCGCTTAATTAATATCTATTAATTAATTATAACAACAAGGTGTGGTGGCCAAGAACGCAGGCGGTTGGCCCAGGAACAGGTGGGCAGGCCACAGTGAGATCGGCCCTGAGCAGGCCCCCTGTTACACACCTCTATGTACACTACACAAATGCATGTAAATTAGGAGTGAAATATTTTTTGAAATCAAATTAATGAATGTTGTAAATGTTTGATTTTTTTTTTTAGAATATAATTTGGTATTTTTCTGGTTCTGAGGTGGCAAAACCCCTTGCTGAAAGGAGTATTTCCGGGGGCAAGGGGAAGGACTTCTGGTGGCAAAAGTTGGGGGTTAAGGGGTGGGACTACCAGTCACAAGATGGTGAGCAGCGTGTGGGGTACCTGTCAAGGGGTGGGCAATACCAATGCGGCCCTCAACAGATTGCCAAAACTCAGTAAGCAGTCCTCTGCCCAAAATAATTGCCTGCCCTGGCTTACAGTCTTCTTTGGGGGGGGTGGGGGGGGGGAAGAATATAAGATATATATGTGATGGGGAAACAACTTTTTTCATTTATTTTAAATTGGAAGAAAACAATTTTTTTCAGTAGATTTTGCTTTAAACAATAAATTATGTCTACTCTCTATCCAACTATAGAAATACATGAGGATCTGAGATGGGGAGTTCCCCACTCACTGTCTTTCCCTCAGCCCCCGAGAGCCAAGCCACCTTGCTGGCATCAGGGGCAATGGCCAGAGTGGGGTGCTGAGCAAGCTGGCTGTGATGCCATACGGCAAAGACACCCCTGGGTAAGGACTTTGTCCTTGCCTGTTGCCCTCAAGTTAGGGGACAAGTAACCTTGGGAGTGTGGGGACAGGCAACAGAAGTGGTTTAAGATACGTGGCAGCTGGCACAGCTCTGACCTGGAACCTTAAAGAATTCCCTAGGGAAACAGGGTCCTCAAGAAAAAGAGACTATCTGGGAACATGGGGGTTGGAATGGCAGCTTGAGTGGGGCAGATCCTGGGGAAAAAGGAGCACCTGGCTCTAGTTTACCCCAGGTGATCCATATTAACACAGGAGAGGTGAGCCACATCAAAGGAGCAGAAGCCAACATTGATAGGCCGGGAGCATCCTGCGAATACCCTGCCAGAAGTAGTGGAGCGGACACTCCATTGGAGAGAGTCAATTGCAGAGGGTGAGTGGCATTATACATGTCCATATATTTTTATCCATGTGGGGAACGGACTTATAAGAATTCCCGGTAGCCGTCCAGGGAGATGCGATGCCTTACTCCTGGCTGTGAAGCTCTAACAGCAGGAGTTTGCATACAAACTGGAAGGTCCAGGGACTAGCTCCTTGGCTATGAAACTGTAAGAGCAGGAGCCAATAACTCTGCCATTTGGAGGCCTGTGATGTAGGGGTGTAGGGAACAGAGGAGCCCCCGTTATAGGCCTGATGTCTCATCAGAGGCCATAGAGGACTATTTGTCTGAGGAAAAAGGTGCCTAATCAAAGGAGCCTTCCACTTTCTATGGGACAAATCTACTGAAATCTTCCATCAGGTCATGGCAGGCAAGTGTTCTGAGCGAGTGGAAGGTCCCCTAGGCTAAGGACAGACGGTCAAAAAGCCCAAGGCTGAATTGATTCAGTCTTTGCAGGTTAGTCTAAGCTGCAAAGATCGAGCTAATAAGTAAATGAACAGACATTCACTTTTAATTCTGGAAATGCAGCCACATAGCTGCAGTGGCTCAAGCCAGAAGACAAGGGGTATTAGAGCATGGCTCTCTGGCACACAGCCATCATGGGCTGTGTGTTCACGTCCTCTTCCTGCTGTCCCTGAGGTCTCTGGGATTTGCAGTCCACAATCCCAACAGCAGGACTCTGCAGGGTTGCTTAGCACTCCCTCTTCTGCTTCCAGGTGCCTCTAGGATATGTAGTCCACAATCACAGCCAGCACTAAGTAAGCAGGGCAGGGCAGCTCCATACTTGGGGGAAGGGAAGTTTTATCTGGCTTCCTGGCCCTAGACCCCACCTGGGATTTGCCTGGGGTGGGAGCAGCGAGCCCGCCCTCACTGTTCCAACTCAGGAGCAGAGGGGCAGGGCCAGCCCTGCTCTCTGGAGCAGACAGCATAGGCTAGCCCAGGGTTGCAAAATGCTGGGATGCTGGGGGACTGTGATTTAACTTGAACCAGGAAGGGGTCTGGGACAGAAGTTTCATAAAACGGTTTGACCTAAATCAGTGAAGTCTGATTAGTACATTCAACCAGGTTTATCTTAAACCAGTTTTGGCCATTTTGAAACTGCTTTATGTGCACTGAACTTCTATTCTGTTACACATTTAAAACAGTTTCTGATCACTTAACCCAGTTTATACGTAACTTCTGTCCCTAGCCCTAGTGAGACGCATCACACGAGTCAAACCACAGAGCAAGACTTGATTCCACCAACATTGGGAATGAGAGAGCATAGCAACACAACTGGGTTCCAAACCCACCCCACCATCTTTAACAACTATATTCAAAAGCATATGAGATCTAGTGAAAAACACATAGCTGCTATCTCCTGGTGACTTCTGAAACTGTACATGGATGCCCACTAGAGGAATATAAAACTACTTAAAAGGATATAGACAGTACAACACAGATCTTTCAAAATAGAATTTAATTCTTTAAAGCTGTATTTAACTGTGGGTAGTGGATTATTACATAACAAGAGCAAGAAACACATGTAGCAACGTACCTAAAATAGAGTTCCTAAGTGACGTGCATTGACTACTTCTTTGCAAAACTAGAAAAATGATTTACATCTTTTTCCCCTTAAAAACCATGTTGGTAGCCTGCCTTGCTGAAATATATGTAAAAAATACTCTCATAATCCACGTGACATGTTTCTGATGAGATTATCTGAAATAAATGTGGTTGATTATACATCGCCACAGCAAAGCTAAACAATGAATTAGTGGAATACCGTTTCCTACAATGGTGAGCACGGTGTTTTGTTCTTATGCCCAAAGTAATAAAGATTTTACTCACTGAAGAAGTAATAAGGCAAAACAAACAAACAGATTACCCCAAACTTGACTAACTAGATATTGACTAAGTATTTTCTAGCTCATGGTTCAAGATTGGTTTGACAGCAGCCACAGAATGTAACGTCATGGCTATCACGAATAAGACAGTAAGAAGGAATTGCCATCAATGAACCAGAGAGGATGTGATAATTTATCCTGTTTGCTGACTCTATCACAAGAAGCCAGAATCCATTAGTCATATTGATTCCGGATGTTACACCTTAGCTAGTACAGAGCTGCATACAATGACAGAATCAAGTTGTCCACATTCTTCATTGTTTTACTTTGAAAGTAAATGAGTTTGTCACTGAGAGGCAGTAGCTCTAACATTCACTATATCCTTAAGAACCAGAGAGATAAAAGAGCCGTTGGCAAGAATACACGAAAACAGACTCATATATGATGAGAGTTACCCACCCCCAACCTTATGGATATGAAGTCTCACCGAGCTGCTTTATGTAGCGAAGATAATAGATACGAACAACGCTATATCATCTTAATGACAGGATTGCAACGCAATGAGAACAGGAGTACAATTTGTATTTTATAAGAGGAAAGCCTGAATATGCGTTTAAAAACTAGGGGCCAGATTCTCCATCGCCCTATACTCTATGTAGCGATTTAAGCTAAGGCATTTAAAGAATCTAAAGGAATTAGGCACTCTGCTTATCTTTTTCCCCACAATTTTGGAAATCCCAGCTTCATACATCAATACCATGAAACATTCCCATTCTGATCTGGAAGCATTTAAAACTCAGCTTGCACTGGTGTATATGACCACAGCAAATCTTTCTTCAAGGCCTTAAATCCTGCAACCTGTTACATAAGGCACTCTCTTGCTCCCATAAAGAACCCTTCTAAACCAAACAAAATGTGTAAAAGGCACTAAGGTCCACTCACTCCCTAAAAGACATCAAGGTCCTAACAGAAAAGTATTTAAAGCTGGAATTGGGAATATTACAGAAAACACCGGTGATGAAAAATTAACTATTCAGAGCACACAAAGCAAGAGGATTGTCAAGTGAAACGGCAAAAGAAACAACTAAAGTCCCTCCACCCAACCCCCACAAAAAAAGAGAGATGTCTCAAGAACTACAACAGAGCAAAGAATAGAGAACAACTTTCAGAGGAGACAAAGTGAAGGTCAATTGAGAAGACGGAGAAAGGCTACGTTCCAAGAAATTCACTTGAGTGGATGTGGAGGAGAGGAAACAAATGGTCTTATTATACATTGTATTCTATAGAAAGGGGGCACTTCAATAAGAATACCTGAATTACATGAATGGAAAGAGATATAGTGAAACAGTAGATTTTGTCATCTGAACCACACAGAGATTCTGGCTTTGGTGACATGTGATTTGAAAGATAAGGAGAAGGTATTTTTACACAGCTGGTGTATGGATTTTTTTAATGAGATGTAAATCACTCATAAATACAAGAACCTCAGCCAGGTTGAAGCTGTAAGTGGAGTTCAGGGGAAAATTAAAAAACCCTATTAAGGAAAGGGTGTTGTCTGCAAAAAGTCTTTAGCAATGAATGACTTATTTGTTAGAGAACTCATGGTATATGCAGTGGAATAGCTACGTACAGCTTCCTCTTGTAGCATACTCTATACACTGCTAGATACTGTCTCGTTAAAGTTTTTCTACCATAACAGGAATGACTACAAAAGAAGATATCATAGATGCTGAGAAAAAAAAGAAAGAAGTAAGAAGACTCCAATGAAATGCACTGGGGACCATACAATCCAGATCTAATTTACCTGTGCAGTACATATCAATTCTAGCTGTAAAGCATTATGGAAAACCCAAGGCTAGCTGTACTATGATAAGGTTCCTAAGAGGGTTTATTTTTCTAAGCATCAGGTTTGAAATACTCTTCCAAACTACCAATCTGAAAACTGAAAGCCCTTTCATTTTCAGGGGAAAAATACAGTCCATGTATTTACAGGTTTTTGCTTCATGGTCACAACCTTCTGTTTCCTGTCCACTAAACTATTACAAGAGACACTAGTTTGTTCACTAGTTACCCAGTGCCTCTGCATTTTTTGTAAATAAGCAGGATTTTATTTTAAGAGTTTTTAAAATCAT